TTTCAGGTCAGCCTGTGCAACATAAAACCCTTCTAAAAAATAAATATGGTACACTCACTTCGCTAGCACATTTACTAAAATTGGGAAGTGGTCCATATTTTAAAAGAGGGGAGGTGGCTGGAGAGATAACTCAGTGGTTAAGGCCATGTATTACTCTTGCAGAGAATCTGAGTTTAGTTTCTAGAACCTAAGCCAGCAGCTCATAACTGCCTGTAATTTCACTACCGGGGGATCTGATGCTGCTGGTCTTCTGGGGCATCCACACTCACGTGCCCATATCTACACATAGACATACACACATACACATAATTAAAATAAAAACAAAGCTTAAAATAAATAATAGAATAAAATCTTTTAAAGTAAATAAATATGATAGAGAAAGGAGAGAATTTTCTTCAGTGGTGCAAGCACTGGTAAGGTACGAATGCTCCTACAAACAAACTCCCACCCACACTCCTATAAACAACCCTAATGAAACTCATTTGTACACACACACACACACACACACACAGGCATGAAAATAGAAGAGAAGAAGTACTATCTAGGAACAAGAAGAGGATTAATGGGAGTTGGAGGGAGTCAGAAAACAGCTGGGGTGAATATAAAAATCCATTATGTACATGAAAATATACATAATGAAAATTTGAAAATGTCAAAATGAAACCCACTGTCAGGGTGTTGGCACAGGCCTTTAATCCCAGCATTCAGGAGGCAGAGGCTGGCAGAACTTTGTGAGTTCAAGGCCACATAGGGTCTACATAGGGAGTTCCAGGTCAGCTGGGGCTACAGGGAGACCCCTGCCTCAAAAAAAAAAAAAAAAAAAGAAAGAAACCTATTATGGTGTATAATTAATATGTGCTGATAAAAACATTAATAATTAAAATTTAAAAGTAAATACAATTACAAATAGAAAAAGTAATCTGTGCAACTTTGTCTCAAAAAATTTTGCATTGATAAGGACATTCTATTTACAGATACATTTATATACATATGTATGTATGTATACCCCAGGAACTGGGTTTGATCCCCAGAACTACATAAACTAGATGAGATATTGAAGGCCTATAATCTTAGTACTTGGAAGAGAAAGGAGGATCAGAAGTTCAAGGTCAAGCTCATCTACATATAGAGTTTGGGGTCAGCCTGGGCATCACAAAACCCTGTATCAAAAAAATAAATATGAACCTGAAAGTTCAGTGCCTTGCCACCATGGAAGAAAAATCATCCCACACCTCCCACCCCCTCCAAGGCTCAGGGACTTTTTCAGAGGAGGTTGAGGGAAAGAATGTAAGAGCCAGAGGAAGGGATAGAGTGTTAACTGAAAGTGTCCTCTGACCAATATGCTCAGTCTCCCTGTGACCCCAGCTGGCCTGGAGCTCTCTGAGTAGACAGTGCTGGCCTCAAACTCACAGAGATCTGCTGGGCTCTGCCTCCCAGGTGCTGGGACTGAGGTTGTGTGCCACCACAACCCAGCTTTAGTCTTTGATCCCTACTTTTCCACCCTTAAGCTTGATTGTATATATATTTTTATGTAACCTGCTTCAAGTTATTTCTGGAAAAATCTGTTAAAAATTGCCTGTCTTTGGAATAATAAAAATATACTTTTTTTTTTGTCTTTTTGAGACAGGGTCTCCCTGTAGCCCCAGCTGTCCTGGAACTCACTATGTAGACCAGGCTGGCCTTGAACTCACAGAGACCTGCCTGCCTGTGCCTCCCAAGTGCTGGGGCTACAGGTGAGCGCCACCATGCCCCAAAATTTTTTTGATGTATTATTTTTAGTTTATGTGTATGAGTGTATTATCTACATGTACGTGAGTGCACCTGTGTCATGCAGTGCTGGGGAGGTCAGAAGAGGGCTTCGGATTCCCCTGGAATTAGAGTTAAGGATGGTTCGTAGCCACCATGTGGGTGCTGGGAACTGAGTCTGGGTCCTCTGCAAGAGCAGTCGGTGCTCTTAACCACTAAGCTATCTCTCCAGCCTCTTATTATTTTTATTTTATGTGTATTCCTGTATTGTCTGCATGTAAGTAAGTGCACCCATGTCGTGCAATTCCTACAGAAGACAGAAGAGGCTGTCGGATCCCCTGGAACTGTAGTTACAGACAGTTGTTAGCTGCCATGTGGGTGCTGGATTTGAACCCGGGTCTTCTGCAAGAACAGTATTCTTAATTGCTGAGCCATCTCTCCAGCACCAATAAAAATATTCTTAAAAAAATAAATACGGCTGGGCATGGTGGCACTCGCTTTTAATCCCAGCAAATTAATCCCTACAGAGGCAGGCAGATCTCTGTGAGTTCAAGGCCAGCCTGGTCTACATAGTGAGTTCCAGAACAGCTGGGGCTATAGGGAGACCCTGTCTCAAAAAGACCAAAAAAAAAAAAAAATACGGAGCTGGAGAGATGGCTCAGCAGTTAAGAGCACTGACTGCTCTTGCAGAGGACCTGGGTTCAATTCCCAGCACCCACATGGACCATCCTTCGGATTCCAGGGGAATCTGAAGCCCTCTTCTGATCTCTGTGGCATTGCATGACACGGGTGCGCTCACATACATGTAGGCAACACACTTATACACATAAAATAAAAATAAAAAAAATACAGTCTCCCTTCAGCAGCATGTGCATGTACTAAATTTGAACATCATTTGCATATATGTTTGCATATATCTTTGATTTTATACAAGTAATAACTAGTCCTTTAAGTGTAGAGTTAAAGGGGTATCCTTTAGCTCAGTGGTAGAATGCTTGCTTAGCTTGAACAAGGGCCTAGTTTTGATCCCCAGGACTGAAAAAAAAATTTAAAAACTGTCTCAAGAAGTAGAGAGAGGCCATACTGTGTAGAGAGAGATTAGAGAGAAAGGAAGGATTGAGAACCAGAACTAAATCCTTATCCAGCACAGGTCTGGGTCCCAAGCCTCTGTCTCCAGATCTCAGAGTCACAAGCCTGGTGCTGAACTTGATCCTCATTGTCTTAAGTCCTTAAAGGATAACAGCAAACATTGTCCCAGCTCAAGACCCTGTGGGTAAGGGGCGTAAGTGGGAGAAGTAACCTGGGTTAGTGACAAAGCTAGGGATCTTCAGCGTATCTCTCCTGAACTAAGCAGCAGTGAGGACATTAAGCCCACTGAGTCCCTTCTGGAGGAAGGAGGTATTAGAAGATGGTTAGAGGAGAAACAGGATCCCTGGGAGAGGGCAGGGGATACTTCCTAAGCTAGATCTTGCAAAGGCCAAGACTTAAGAGTCCAAGTCAGGAGATAATTGGGGATCACTGAGACAAACTGGTCTGGTCTAGACTCCTGTCAGATGGGAGAAAGCCTTAAAAGGCATAAGTGAAGAGCTGGGAGTTCGTTGTTAACAGTAAGAACCAATTACAGTATTGGACCTGGGAGGTACCAGTGGGAGGCAGCAGGGATATAGGGTGAGTCAACAGAGATCCTGACCAGGTTAAGTGACCTGGCAGGAGGGGAGGCATGGTGATCAAGGCTTCAGCTTGGGTGACTCAGATATGCTGGTACCATGAGAGAAACTGAGAAGAAACTGTATGTGTAGTAGAGGAGCAGAGGTCACTTAATCAGGCTTCCTCCTTTAATCCATTATACCTCTAAGACCCTTTGGAATGGTTTCAGCTCTCTGGTCCAGTCAAGAATCCTGAGTGTTTTATTTTGTAAATATGTAAACTGAGGCACAAAAAAGGAAATGATTTGCCTATGGTAATGTTAGTGTCAGTGTGTGAACTTGCATTTGGGTCTCTTCCCTAGAGCAGAGTATGCCAGGTTGGACAAGGATGGACAGATAGGCCATGCAATAGGGGCTTAAAGCCATGAGCACCTGTCATAGGAGCTCATCTATCACCTCTAGTGAAGGAGACAAGGAAACAAAAGAAGCAAGGAGGCTGGCACTCTGGGGGATAGGAGGCAGACAGGCTTGGCTAAAACTAAACTTGGGGATTATCAAAGGTTTCACTTGGCTAGGATTTCTGTCCCTCAGTGATGCTTAAACACACACACACACACACACACACACACACACACACACACACACACCTGTAGCTTCCTGGAGAGGGATCTGGTCACCAGTGGGCTGGGCTGGGTATAAGTGCTCACTTGGCCCAGCAGGTACCTAGCAGATAGATATTCCAGGTGTACCTCAAAAATACCTCTTTAGGAATGATAGCTATATACCTAACTCTATAGTGTGCCGCTACCCACTTGGTAATACCTCACTTTTTTCTGGGCCTCAGTTTCCTTAGGGTAAAGTAAGTTTTTGCTTTGTTTTCTCTAAAGTGCTTTTTAAAGTTCGTTCCAGTTCTAATCCCTGGATTCCTGTTCCCCTCCAAGCCTTCTCCCAGTGAACCCTCATGAACACAGGATTTCTGGGCACAAATCTCTATTTAAATTGGTCACAGCTGACCTTTAGTAGGTTCAACCAATCCAAGAACTTTGGCCAGTGGTTGAGGTTTAAAACTGTATAGGATTTCCTTAGTGATCAAGCTGGGGGGGGGGGAGATATTCCCCAGTCAGACTCTGGACCCTGAAAACTGTTCAAAGGATGGGGGTAGAAAGGCTAGAGAGTTTGAGGTTGTCCTAGAGCCCCAGTGCTGAGCATCATGCTCTAGAAAGGAGGGGGAAAGGGGAGAGGGGAGGGGCCCCACCCACCTGGTGAGGTCATGGGAAAGCAGCCCTGGCCCAGACACCTGGGGAAACCCGTTTCCTGGCTGCTTCCCACGCTAGTCTCCTGGGAACCAACTAAGCCAAGCCCCAAGCAGGGAGCCCCATACCTGCCCCCACCCCTGTTCAGTTCCCATCACATTGTCCTATGTGGTCCCAGCCCTCACCTGTCAACCAAATCTTAGTTCCCAGGCCATCTATCTATGCAGGAAGCTGTTGGGATTTGAGAACGGTTATGAAGGGGCACTGGGCTGACAGCTCCAGGAAACAACAGAGACAGCAGCTTCAAAACAGAAGGTTTTATTTGCAGACTGCACTGCTCTACCTTCTAGGCTGTGACCTTGAGGAAAGGGATGACCCCTACCCCTTCCTTCACTCTAATTTGCAGTTCTTCCCCCTCCCTTTGCAAGGCCTTGACTCTCACTTCCTGCCTGACTGCTGGCCCAGCCTGTTTGAGCAGTACCGAGGGAGCCTAGAGACCCAGTTCTTCCCAGGGAGCAGCCCCGCCCTCCCTGGCCTTGGGGCTTGAGGGCAGCCCAGGTGTCAGCCTTCTCCACAGCTGCCCATCTCCTGCTCTCTTTCTCCTTGTCTTCCTCCTTTCAGGCCCAGCCCTCTACTCTGCCTTCGGTTGAACCTCTTCAAACCTTGCCTTCTGTTCCCTCTCTCAATTTCTTACTGGCCTCTTACCTACTCCATCTCAAATCTCTCCAAATCGAGGCTGGCCACCTTCCAGTCCTCCAAGATGACCAGCTGTTTCTCTTGTTCCCTGTCACATCTGTGCAAGGAGGGGATGAAGACCACCACAAGGGGTCCTCATTCAGCCATGTTGACCTGCAGGGGACCATGAAAGAAACTGAGAATTGCATCTCATGTTGCTCAGAGATGGTTGATACTGCCAGGATCATTTCATGAAAATCCAAGTGCTGGGATTTTCCTGTGGGCCTTGACCAAAGAAATCCAAATCAGAGGGCCCATTAGGGCCTAGGCTCTCCCTGGCTTATCAGAGTGGGCATCTAGAGACCCACATCCTCTGTGTTCAATAGGGAACTGAGTACCAGCGACTGTCCAAGCCCTGCCAGTACCCCTCAAAGGCCCGGTGGCCCAGGTTCCAAGTCTTGGGCCTCCAGCCTAGGGCTTGCACTGCCACAGCTGCTCAAACAAAGCAGAAGAATTTCTTCCAGCGGCAGCGGGACAGGGTGCGCACCCCTTTTGCGTTCAGTTTCTTCTCCAGGCGGGCTTTGTGCTCAATGGCACTCAGAATGGCCGAGTCAAACACCTCTTTCAAGTTCTTTTGCGTCAAGGCAGAGCACTCAAGGTAGCAGCAAGCCCGGATCTTCTCGGCCAGACCCTGGGCTTGGGGCTGGGGCACTGGGCCCTCCCGACCTCCTTGGTCCAATTGAATTAGTACATTGACATCGTCCCTGAGGTCGGCCTGGGTGCCCACCAGTAGCACAGGGGCCTGGGGGTTGTGAGTGCGAATTTCAGGCAGCCATTTTTCTGTGATGTTCTGGAAGGAGCTGGGCTGTACCACGCTGAAGCACGCCAGAAAGACGTCGGTATCCGGGTAGCAAAGGGAGCGAAGCCGGTCGAAGTCCTCCTGGGTGGCAAGGTCAAGTCGTTAGCAGGATTACTCCCTCCACATGGAACGAGAATCTGCTTCTCACTTGGAGATAGAGACCCGAAACTCCTAGAGCTCAAGGCCTGCTCCATCCCCACTCCATCCAGGAACCCTCCCAGCTTCCAACCCCTTCTCCCGGAGACCAACAGAGGATACACCCAACTTCTCACCTGCCCAGCTGTGTCCCAGAGCTCGATGCGCACGGGGGCTCCATCCACCAGGACTTGCACTGCAGGGGCGGGGAGGGAAAAGCATGAAGTTAGGCATAGCGGCCGTGTCGCTCCAGGCCTCACCGGCGCCACCTCCGGGCCTCCTCCCGGTGGTCTTCCGTGCCCTCCCCCCAGTTGTGGAGTGCATATCCCCACCCTCAGTCTCACGGACTCCGGGGCCGTTGAACGTACCGGAGAAGGTGTCCAACGCCGTGGGCCGGTAGCGCGCAGGGTACCCATTGCAAGTGTAGCTGACGATGAGGCTGCTCTTGCCCACCGCGCCGTCGCCCACCAGCACGCACTTGATGCCCAGCTCCGGGGGTGAGCTGCGCCGCCGCGGAGGAGGGGTCGGGGCCCGGAGCGGAGGCGGCTCGGCCTCACTCAGCTCCCGCGGTGGCATGGCCGGCTCCCGGGGCAGCAGAGGGGCCAGCCCGGACCTGGCTGCGCGGCGCTCGGGGAAGCCGATTCTGCTGGCTGCAGCTAAAGACTGGTCCAATTTGGGCTCGCTGGCAGAACGCTAACAGAAATATACATTGGGCCCCGCCCACCTCATCTGCATGTCCCTAGGGCCCGGACCCCGCCCTCTGGAGCCTGGACTTGGCTAGGCAGGGCGCCAGTGGAGGCTAAGCAATCGCGCAGAGCATCCAGAGGAAGAAAGGGATGCGAAAACCAGACACCTCGTAGGTACAAAGACAAAGAACTGGTGTATGATTATACCAGGACCGAAATATTTTGGTAGACCCGTGTTAGTAGGAAGAAGCAAACTGCGGAACACATAATACAGCATGTTCAAATTAAACACATCAGATTAAACCTTTTGAGGTTAAAAAAACTTGTATACATATTGGTATGAGTATTAACCATACCATCAGTAATTTTATTAATACTAATGTGAGGTTTTTTGTTTTGGGGGGGAGGGGGTCTTTTTGAGGCAGGGTCTCCCTGTAGCCCCAGCTGACCTCAATCTCATAGAGATACACCTGCCTCTGCCTCCTGAGTGCTGGGAATAAAGACATGTACCACCAGGCCTGGCTAATTAAAATGCTTGTAAAAAGGATCTACTTGGAGAGGGGTGGAGGCTCAGGCTGTAGTTTTGAGTGCCTGCCTAGCATGCATCAAGTTACGAGGATTCCCCAGTATCTGGTGGTGCACTCCTGTAGTCCCAGCACCCTGGAGTAGAGGCAGAAGGATCAGATATTCAAGGCCATCTTCAGCTGCTCAGATAGCCCGAGCCACCCTAGGCTACAGTGTGAGACATACATACACATATACATTACCCAGGCTGGTGAGGTACCTTGTGGCAGAGTCCTTGCCTAGCACACATGATGCCTAACACATCAAAAATTTAAATACACAAATCAATAAATTATTCCTTTTTCCCTGCACTCAGGAAGCAGAGTCAGAAGATCTCTGTGAGATGGGTCAGCCTGGTCTACATAGCGAGTTCCAGGCCAGTTAGGGCTACAGGGAGACAGACCCTGTCTCAAAAAAAAAAAAAAAAATCAACAAAATACAGATAGATGATGAGGCAGAGGTAGAGAAACTCAGTTGTGAGCATGGCTGGCTAGGAATGTTCTATCCTTCCTTCCCCAGAAGAGCTTCCTGTAGACTCATCAGAAGGCAGGCTTTAAACACCTTCATTCTCTGCTGAAGACAGGCCTAAGAGACCAGTGGGGAGGCTCTTCAAGGACAGTTCCCATTTGAATATTTTTATTTTTTGGTCTTTTTGAGACAGGGTCTCCCTGTAGCCCCAGCTGTCCTGGAACTCACTATGTAGACCAGGCTGGCCTTGAACTCACAGAGATCTGCCTGCCTCTGCCTCCCGAGTGCTGGGATTAGAGGTGTGTGCCACCACGCCCAGATCCCATGTGAATATTTTATAAATCCCCAAAGTACCTAATATTATCTTTGTTATCATGAAAAGGACATAATAATTACCTATTTGCAAATGCTGTTCTGGGCCACCTATTGTCCTTGCCCTAAAAGGAATTTACAGACTCATACAAGATTTCCCAGATAGTCCTAGGAAGGTTACTTCGAGGCCTAATGCTAATAATTTAGTCTCTTTATTGCAGCCACACAAAGTGATACCAGGCCCAGAATCCTTTCTCTTATCCCCAAGGCAGAGAGTTTCATCTCAGCCTCTTTGTAGATCACTGAAAACTTTCACACAGGGAATCAGACATTCATGAGTTTGAGGAGGGAGAAAATTGGGAAGGGATAGGAGGTGAATACTAAAAAGACAACTAACGCTCTCAAAGATTTTCTAGTATAGAAATCCATTAAGTCTAGCCTGATTTTGTGGCACACATCTGCAATCTCAGTACTCAGGTAGCAGAGGCAGCAAGACTGCCATAATTTAAACCAACCTAGTCTACATGGTGGGTACCAGGACTACATAACAAGACTCTATCTGAAAAAGCAGCAAAAGGGCCAGGCATGGTGGCATCCATTTAGTCCCAGCACAGAGAGGCAGCGGCAGAACTTTCTGTGAGCTCAAGGCCAGGCTGGTCTATATAGTGAGTTCCAGGACAGCTGGGGCTACAGGAAGACCCTATCTCAAAAAAATAAATAAATTTAAAAAAAGGAACAAAAGGCAACAAAGGGGCTGGAGCTGATAGCTTAGCTGTAAAGAGCACCTGCTGCTCTTGCAGAGGACCTAGGTTCAGTTCCCAGCATCTACATAGTGGCTTACAACTGTCTGTGACTCCAGTTCCAGAGAATGGATGCCCTCTCTGGCCCCTGAAAGCACCAGGCAGGCACATGGTATACATACATACATGCAGGCAAAGCACTCATACACATCAAATAAAAAGAAATACATCTTTAAAAAATTCCAGAGCTGGGCATGGTGGTTCATGCCTTTAATCCCAGCACTTGGGAAGAAGAGGCAGGTGGATCTCTGTGAGACTGAGGCCAGCCTGGTCTTCATAGTGAGTTCCAGGCTAGCTGTAGTTACAGGGAGATCCTGTCTCAAAAAGGAAAAAAAAATTCCAGCTGTAGTAGACACACCAGGAAGATCCTTGAAAGTTCATGGCCAGTCTGGCATAAATATTCAATTCCCAGACCAGCTGAGGGATAACATAGATCTTTTAAAAAGGGGGGGGCGGGGTGCCGGGCGTGGTGGCACAGGTCTTTAATCCCACCACTTGGGAGGCAGAGGCAGGTGGACCTCTGTGAGTTCGAGGCCAGCCTGAATTCCAGGCCAACTGAGGCTACAGGGAGACCCTGTCTCAAAAAGACCAAAAAAAAAAGAAGGGGGGGGAGCTGGTGGTGATACATGCCTTTAATCCTAGCACTCAGGAGGCAGAGGCAGGTGGATCTCTGTGAGTCTGAGGCCAGCCTGGTCTATATAGCAAGTTCTAGGCCAGCCAAGGCTACACAGAGAGACCCTGTCTCAAAAAAAAAAAAAAAAAAAAAAAAAAAAAAAAAAAAAAAAACCCTAAAAAGTCCTGGGCTTTAAAGCATTGCTAACTTGGGGCTGAAGAGATGGCTCAACACTTAAGAGCACTGGCTGCTCTTGCAGAAGATATGGGTTCAGTTCCCAGCACCTATGTGGAGACTAACAACAGTCCATAACTCCAGTTCCAGGGGATCCAATACCCACGTCTGACCTCCACAGGCACTGCACACATATGGCACACTTACATGTAGGCTAACACCCATACACACACAATACAAAAAAAAATAATAATTTTCTGACTTTTATTTTATTTTGTCTTTTTGAGTCAGGGTCTCTCTGTAGCCCCAGCTGTCCTGGAACTTACTATGTAGACCAGGCTGGCCTCAAACTCACAAAGATCCACCTGCCTCTGCCTCCCAAGTGCTGGGATTAAAGGTGTGTGCCACTATGCCCAGCTTAATTTTCTGACTCTTAAAATTTATCTTCACTTTGGGAAAATGTAAGGATTCCTCGGGATCCATTTTTATATCCCAATGTCAAGATATATATATATAAAAAAAACCTTCTCCATTCCTTAGATTCAAATGTCTGAGGATGCTAATGATCTTAATAGTAGCTCAGAACCCCCAACACTTCTCAGACACATCCCCATAAGTTTATTCATCTAGCAAGTGAAAGCTGTCTTAAATATTATCCAGCCATTATATTACCTGAGAAAATCCAAAAGCTGTTCTTTTTGCTCTCCTAGAAAGGGAGGGGACTCTAATAGACATAAACCAGAAGAAGATCTGTCTCAGTGTTCCCAGTTCTTCAGCTTCCAAGCTGTATGAGTCCTACAAAATCACTTGACCAAAGTCAATGCAATAAAATGACAGGTGAAATGTGTTTATCTCTGAAAGCCCTTCTGGTGCTAACAATCTGTGATTCAGCAATTCTGGGATGCTGCCCCAGCTCAGGTGTACAGGATGAAATTACTGAACACACACTTCTTTGCAATGCTCTTGTCCTTTTGTTTAATAGCTTTATGGGGATGGGACTGTAGCTCAGTCGGTGGAGTTGTATCATGCATGAGGTCCTGGGTTTTATTCCCAATACCACATAAAGGTACGGAGGCAATTCCTAAAATCCTAGCACTTAGAAGGTAGTGGCAGGAGGATCAGAAGTTCAAGGTTATTCTTGGCTACATGAAAAATTAAAGGCTATTCTGGGATGTATGAGACCCTGTCTCAAAAAAAAAAAGCTTTATCATAGCTCTCAATTTTAAGGATTATACTTTTAAATCCTTTCTGCAAAGGCAAAAATACTATACTAATGGGACAAATAAGGGCCATATCTGCTGGACATGAATAGATGTCCTGAGTTGGTCTGAGACTGGCCATTCTTTTTGGTCTCATGGGTGTAGATACTTTCTGACCTAGGTCCTTTGTCTAAGCTGGTTTAGGTACAGTCTTGTCAGCAAGAGGGGGAGGAGGAGACAACCTGGGGAGCTGGTGAGTCACCTATTTCTCAGCTAAGGACCTGCAAGTCTGGCTGCTGCTTCTGGGAAAGTCTTCTTCAAAGTAGCAGGGTTGGGTCTTATTCCTGCCCACCTTCCATATCTGCCCCAACTTCCAGACATGTTTGCTAGGACTAAAACTTGGCCCCGACATTATGTCATGGAGAAATGGCAGATTCTGGAACTGGAGCAAGGAATATACATGGGAAGCCTGGAACATTTGTGTATAGAAAGAAAGTGCTACCCAAACATGATAGGAAGATGTAGGTACTTCTTATGGACAAGAAGCTGAACACAGGAGCTTGCAATGGTCCAAACTGAGCAATCTGAACAACAAAATAAAGCAGTAATACAGCCAGCATAAAAAAAATTCATGAGTCTATAGTAAGAAATGATACATAAATGTGGGATGAAGATTCCAAATAATACTTGTAGACCCTCTGCCCTGAAGGAGATAGAACATAAATCATTACTGGTTTTTGTTTTTGTTTTGAAGACAGTGTCTCATGTAGTCCACGCAGGCACTGAACTTTCTTTGTATCAGAGGGGGCCTTGAACACTTGATTCTCC